AGTTTCCCCGGCGCGTGTCTGGGTTTGATGTTATCAGTGAGAAAATTGATGTCGTATTCCTACCGATTTTATGATCTGTTGTTTATTATGTTTTGCAAGGCTTTTTCTGTCAATTCGTTCTACAATAGCGAATGAGTGTTGTAAGGTTCTGGTCAAAGTTCACTTTTTGTGGAATTGGATCGTACACACGTCATAAACCTCTTTATATCACAGGCCTCGCAATGTAGACCTGTACTCTATCAAGAATGCTTTCGATGAGATCATTCTTGACAGAGTAGCGGTTTATGTTGGTGTGGCCTTGCATTCCCCTGATGTCACCTCATTCGGAGCGAGTTCGCCAACACTTTCAAGGCTGCCGAATTGGTGCCTAATTCAATCGGCAGTTCCAACAATAAATGGCTGTTTGGATCTTCGCTATCAAATGATCACTCTTGTCTTGTTGCAGACAGCCTGATGTCACCGCGACTGGTGCAACGAAAGTTCCCAGCTGGACCTGATCGTACACCGTTTACTGTCACACACGTGCCGTGTGCGAGTGCCTGTAATGGAAATATGGTATGGGTCCCTCGAGGTCCCGTCACTTCCCCGAACCTAAGCAATTCCAATAGCCTCTCACGGATAGACAAAACAGGTATCAGAAGGCAAGTTTTTCACAACGCTCTTCTTTAACGTTGATTCTTTTTTCATCTGTTGAGCGATCTTTACAAACGTTCACTCTTCACTCTCCCCACCCTTAGGCTGACCTTTTCCAACTTACCAGTATGATAGTTTATTTCTAATTATTACCTGTGATTCTAATACTTTTATAATTTTTTACAATTACTATGTTTATAATTTAGTCCCGTCTGGGGTAGATCAATGCTCCCTTCGTAGAGGTAGTCGTTTTACTTTTTTAAGAGTGGTTGCTAATTGAATCGTTCGGCGATTTCAGAAACGCTCCTATCCTCTGTCTTTCGGCATTGATATTGTCTCATTCATACTTTGTATACTAGGCTAATTTATCTGATTTGCAATATTTGCGTGTTTTTGAGCTTCAACGCTGAGGATCCATTATCATTGAAACATGTTACAGTGGTCTTATTGGCGTAGGAATTGGATTGAGCTACCGCTGAAAGGAGTTCCTGGAAGCCCAGGGAAATGCGGAGTGTTCGGAAAGAAATCGGCCCAAAAGTACTCTGTTGGGGCCATTTGACTAACAATGCTGCCGAAA